TAGTGAACTTCTCTAAGTGTCTCCACCTGTTTTTTAAAGATCACATGGGCTAGACTAATAAATTAGGACATCCTAAGTTGAATAAAACAAAGCATATCAATTGACCAGAATGATATCAATGTGGCCTTGACTAGTAAATTTGCTAATGAATTTTGTAACATATTTGCTGAAGGCAAAAGATACTGATAGAAAAATCATCTCTCTTCTCTCTTATGCTTAAAGACAATTAATAAATACCTAATGGTCTTGAGACACAGTGATGGCCATGCTTAGAACTGCTCTTCTTTCCCCTGGCAGTGGCTGTTTGTGAGGAGGGAAAGGAAGCACTTCTCTAAGCCAAGTCACGTGTGCTGCTCAGGCAGCTGGATCGAATTTGAACATAACAGCGAGGGCAAGGATGGAGCGTTAGCATAAAGTTGTTACACGGCCCTGGAAACACCATCCTAGAGGCCCCCATCTGTGGGCTTTGTACTAACTCATTCCAAATGTTAACTTTTCCAAAATGGAACTTCCTAGAAAGCTCATTCTATTTGCTGAACATTGGAACTCCATAATAGCACCTGCAGCCTCTTTTGTCCTCAAACTCTGTTCTGGATATTTTTTCTCCCAAGAGTAAATGCTGTACCTTAGGCTCAACTGGGGTTCCCAGACATGAGGGTCCTGAGAGCAGGCAAAGGCCTCTGGTGGCAGCCAGCAGTCAAAAGCAGTGGAGGCCTATGGATGCTGGCCAGTGAGATTGACACAGCTGAGCTAGTGGTCTTGAGCTTCACCCAGGCTTGAGGGATGGGCTCTGCTCATAAAATTTCAGAAGGACAAACAGGTGTTCAAAGATTTTTTTCTGCCCACAATTGTGAATTACACCTCAGAAGGCTGAACTATGAAAGATATTCTCTACCAGTAGGAGTTATCAATACAAAAAAATTACCCAGACACACAGGTTGTCCAAAAAGTATCCAGCCAGGTATGTCAGTATTTTTCATTTTACATGGCTGGCTACTTCTGGGCAGTCCTTGGGCACACACACACGTACATAACTGAAGCACTTTGAAAGGCTACTTGCTGTGAAAAATGTACTTAACCAACCTATACACATGTAAGAAATCTATTACAACTGCCATCTTTATTACAAAGATGAAATATACATATAGATAATATGTTTAAATTTTACTATGCACCATTAAATTCCTTTGCATTCCTTAAGCAGAAAAATGAAGATCATATGGTAAATTAAGTACAACATGGAATCTCCATCCATGCAGAATCTGAACACCTGATGGGAAGTCGTATTAAAATCTGGCCTTCTATGGAGTAAACACTTTGTTTCATGACTGAAGAATTTCCTGACTTTGGGTTTAAACTCACACTCAGTTTTCATTTGCCGATTCTGCTTTCACTTGTCCAAGAGTTTTCAAAGGAATATCCTTGTGTACTTTCATAGTTCTGAATGTCAATTATCTGGTGAAATTCGAAATAAATCTCTTCAGCCAAGTTTGAATCATGCAGGAGGTTAAAATACATCGTTTGACCCTCAAAGCAATAATGTAAGATTTCAGTAGGGAAATCCAATTATTCTATGCAAGGAAGAAATAGTACCTCTTTGGAAAAAATAATTCAAAAATTTGAGGATGTGATTGAAAAATAAGAAAAGCAAAAGGTTTTTCAAAGTTTTAAATTACCAAGCTCCCAGCTGGGGTATTGGTTTTCTGCAAGCCTACGATTTTGCTGATGGGAGATTTATACCGTGCATGTGGTAGAAGAGAGGACTTACAAATTCTCATCTGTATAATGTCAGAAGGATACAAATAAAAGGTTTTCTGGTACTTCTCATTGGTTACTTATATTTTTTTGTTCAAAACAAAACACAGTCAATGAAAAATATAGAAACAAACATTAGTCTCTGCATTAGGGCAGTGTGAATGAGAAAAGCACAAATAAAAAATAAGAGACATGTAAACTTTAAAGTTCCCAAAGAACCATTCATTCCCTATGCACATACTGGGAATATTTAGGCTTACCAGTTAAGCTTTTAAACGTACCATTAAAGGTTGGACATGTTCATGTTTTGATAATAACTTTAGCTTTTCTCTTTTTCAGATGATACTATTTTGATCCAGTCTGAAAACTGCATAAATATTGATCATTACAGTTAATGAAAAATAGCCTTGCTCATAACTAAGAGAATGTAGGTAATAGGATTTCATTTAAGTGCATTTCACTGCCCAATACTGTTACAAGTCAAAGAATTTTGCTGTCTTCTGACATTTATAATGCTGTCATCCAGAGGCCTCAAATAGCTGCCTACTTTGCCTCCGAAGTTTATGGCATAACATGTATCAAATGAAGCCTACCAGTCCTTGAGTATCTTAAGAAGAAGCCATCAGAGACTCTAGGAACGACATCTTCAAACAGGATACCCTTAGGCTTGATTCCTAAGCTGAGGGAAGATACACAACTTCAGACTTTGAAACTGTTTCTAGAATAAAATTCTAAGGATAAGAAGGCAGTGTGGGGGGTATGTGTTTGGAATAGGAATGGAGGGCAGCGAGAAGGCAAGGTGGGCTGCATTAAGCTCCACTGACCAAATCGTCTTTGGCCACAGTTGGAGGGAAAAGTTACGTCTTCATTTTGCCCCGAGATTCCCGTCCTGCAGAAGTCAAAGGCCTTCCAGATTTTTTCAGGACATGTGGGTCTGCCCACTTCCAAGAGACAACACAAGACTTTCCTGTCCTTACTCTTTGCCTGTACCCTTTATCCTCTATCTCCTCCAGCATGGTTGGAAATAAGATAGACTAATCTAAAATAAAGAGAAAGAAATAACATCTTCCATTTTATTTGGGAAATAGGAAATCATGGGTGGTCTGCCAGGGGTGGCCAGTAGCATATGAAGGGAGATCTCAGAGCTAGGCTTAATGCTAATTCTTATGCTCTCTCCATTTCAGTGTCCACTGTCCATCAATTCCTTCCCCGGGAATCTCATAAGAAAGAACAGTAATGTAGGACATTTCACAGAGGTTGTTTTATTTTAAAGAAACCCACCTATTTCCTAAAAATCCTTTGGCATTTTTTATTAGCATATTTCTATCTTCAAATCCACTCACTTCCACCTCTACACACACACACCCATACACACACACACACACTTCTCTAGAGAACTTGTTGGAGCACCTCATTCTGGGAATAGATTGTAGAGTCATTGCTACACTGAAGATATGATGCAGTAACTATGACAAGCTTCAAACTATTTGTCATTCCACAGAGCCTTACGATAAGCCTCCAGCACCACCCCCATACTAAACTCCTCTACTGACATATCACCTATCTTAACTTCTTGTATTTGGGCACTTTCAGACACAATCATACCCAATATTCATCTTTAGCTTACTTTGTCACCTTAAACATTTAAACATTCCTTTGGCATGACAAAGAACAGTTCTTTGAAATGGTCTTGGACAAAAAAGAAAGAAATCCAAATCAAACAAAAACCACCCATGATCATAATTACTTCCCACATTGAGGGCAGGATGTGGATGGCTGGTAGGAAATCATCCCTTCTTTTTAATCAGACCATATTATAACTATGAAGACAATCTGGCCTCCACATTTGTCACCTACTCACCCTAGTCAATGCCAGGGCTGATTTGGCTGACCTTTCCACTTTCTGGAAACTGTAAGCTACGTTAAAGACAATCTTCCATGAGAGAGGAAACAGTGGTCTTTGATTAAGGTTATATGAGTCCTATAATTCTCATGCTATAAACATCAATTAATTTGTCAATGTGAGGCAGAGCAATTCTTCCATTTACTCTCTGCCTCTGGTCTTATCTAGATAGATACTGAGGTTTACATTTGCTATTCAAAGACTGTTTCCTCCACCATATAGTCTGAACAAAGAACCTCGTGTACATGGAAGTAATCTATCAAGCCAGTTATTATAGAGACAATGGCTGAGGAAGAAATGAAAGAATCACATTCTGAAATTTTATCAGAGACTTTATCTCTCAAAATTTTGGCTATTGCACATTTTTGTGTCTCTAAAAATGTGCTCAGTTTCCCTCAGTCTTATATACAAAACTAAAGAGCATGAAGTGATATGATAGTACCAGAGAAATGGATCAATTAAGATTTAGACTAAAACCTGAGCTGGTTCTGTGCTCTGGGCTGAGTCTACATATGGCCCATGAATGATCAACCTGTTGTCAGGCTACTCTATGAGCAGATAATGTGCTGATTTATCAATACGATATTGATACATAAAATAGTAAATGAAACAAGTATTTTCTCTACCCACTGATAAACTCACATACTTATTTCCCAAATATTGGTAAAGTGTTAACTGGTGTTACATATATAAACAAAGCAGCAGCAAATAAAAACCTCCGTCTGCCGTGGCCGCACTTAGTGACTGGTGAGATTCTAGAACAAAAATTCTTAGAATTTTACAGAGAATCTTTTCATTTTCTTATTGAAAAGAATTCCTAGAATTTTACAGTGAATCCTTTCATTTTCTTTCTTCAAATTTTTAAACAGAAGAGAGGCTAATGGTGAAGTTTCTCAGCTCAGCTAGAGAGAGGGAGTCAAGTCTCTATGGACATGCCCTTTATTGAAAGGGGAGAGAAAATTCAGGCTGCTGGCCTCCAGTCCTGGCTGGGAGAAGAGGAAAGAGGGATTGGTAGAGGCAAGCAGCTTACAGTTTCAGTTATTCAACAAATACTTATGAAGCAACTAAGAAAATCCATTGCCCCTCTGGTTTATAAAAGTGACTTCGCATCCTCACATCTTCCTAGAGAGCACAGCTGGGGCATGGTACTGCATAAGCAACTGCAACTTTTACTTACACCACAAGTGGATGCATGTCCCACACATGGGAAATGTGCTTATTAACATGCTCAATGATCATGATGGTCTTAGGTATTATAAAGCTATGTCTATGGCACCAAGACTCAATGCCAAGGCAACATCAGCTGTGGCCTGACAGGCTCAGGCTGTGCTGCTGCTCTTACCATGACTGAGATGTGGAGGATCCGCAGCTCCTCTTCCGCAGACTCATGCTGGGGTTCTTCAGTTGGGTCTTGCCCAGGGAGGCTTGGGGCACCATCTTGGTGATGGATGTGAAAAAGCAAAGTGCCATTCTCCAGCCACTGCTGCCTCCAGCGCACCAGAGGGATGTCCTCTGTGTTCCCTGAGATCTCTAGAGGGTAAACACCAAAGACATAGGTAAGAATTTGGACCAGACCAAGTTTTACAACTTCCTGGCCACTGGTACCAATTAGCCAGTTTTGTCTGAAGGCAACAAAAAATTCCAACTAAGTATCGTTAAGTCAAATTTACTGCTGCCACAAACCTCAAGAAAGGGAAGAGACCCTGAGAAGAAGAGAATTATATCCTATAGTCTTTCCACCAGAAATCTAGTGAGCCAGGCTCTCACCTATTGAGAAAAACTCTAAGGGGAAAATTCAAGTTCTTCCCCTTGCTTCTATGATCAATAGCATCCTTTACACATCTCAGTTTGAATTCCTGATAAAACCCCCCCCCCCAAGGTAAATACAAGGTTGTTTGCCTCTTATAAATTTGAAAGTGTGAGTTCTCCAGCAACTACTCCCAGACATGTGGGTAAATTTACCAAGGAGAGAGTTGGAAATGACTATGCAGAGAACTGGCATTTATGGAATGGTCCTGGAAGGTTACTGCAGAGCCACTGCGGCTGACAGGTTATTTCTAAACCCACAATCACTTGCTGCGTAGTCCACTGGAGATGCTGGATAACTTCCTGTGACAGGGAAAGCAATGTTTTAATTCCCTTTCATTTTCCTCTTCAGTTTTGCAGAGCAGAGGTGCTGTAAGTGAGGAGAGCAGGGAAGAAGTGGGCCCTTATTACAGACACACTCATCTGCTTCTCAGGGACCTAATTCAAGGCACTGGATTATCATCAATGAATTAATACCAAAATGCCAAAACCCTCTTTGTCCTTTGCACGGTCACAGTAGCAGGTGCTAAGCAGATGTACAGCGTGTGTATGCCTCCTCTCATTCTCTTATGCAACATTGAATCAAAGCTTTCAGACATCCCACAGTAGAAAAACCTGATTAACCCAGCCTCTCCCCAACTTGATTTGGCCCCAGGCCATTTTTCCTGGAACAACTAGCCCCACACTAGGGAACTAATGTTCTGCTGAACACACCGTTAGTAAACCATTGCTTTTTACAATTTCATTTTATTTTAATAGCATGGCTTCTTCTCCCCAAATGTGTCACCTTTGACCAAAAAGAAAATCCCACAGACATAAAGAAGACTTAATAAGATGCATTTAGATATTCTCCTTAACTACTACAATCATACAAAGGGAAGAATTTTTAAGTATTTATAAATATTGTTCAGTATTTGTTGATGTTATTGATTGATCCAATCATTCATTTGTTCAACAGGCTTACCCTGGGTGTGTACGGGAGATACTAACCTAAGTGAGGCCCTCAACAAGTCCTCCAAAGTAGTCTGCTGTGAGTGAACTTGGTAAGCACTGCACAAATAACAAGGTTTTATGGGAGCATAGAAGAAGGAATGAGTGGTCTCGGCTGGGTAGAGGGTGGAAGAGAGGAGGAAAGTAGCCTTTTCAGAGGAAGGTGGTACTGGTATTGAGCCTGAAGGGTAAGTGGACTTCCTTGCAGTGGGAATAGAAGCAGGGTAGTATGCCGAGGTCCTGACAGGAGAGTAAGGAGGAGCAAGGGGAGACTGTGGCTGGTCCTTGCAGGAGGGTAGGCAGGTGAGAAGGCTTTGTATGAGCCACAGGTCATCAGTCCGTCCCAAAAGACACTGATATGAGTCCCTCCCTTGTCCCACCATCCCACAGATTGGGGAGGAGTACAAGAGAGCTGCAAATTCATAATGATCATAGCTGTCCTTCGTCCTTGGGGCCTCTCCCTCACCACCTAGGGCACTCAATGAGGTGCTGGATAGCTAAGCTGTCTCTGATCTGGGGTGCGGGCAGCACAAGCATCTAGGAAGCTATGGTGTGAGGATGAAGACCCCTTGTTTTCCATAGGCCTGGCCCCAGTGGTTAAGTGAGGCAGTGACCTAGCCTCCTTCACGAGAAGCAGCTGCCTTTCCACTAAGGAGGCTTCCAGATTTCCAGGTGAGGAGAAATCTGTGGGCATTTTTCTGGGCGCCGGGGGTGTGGAGTCACAGAGGCTGAAAGCTCTTCAGAGGAGGCCCCACGAACACAAGCCCCACTCCCTACTTGGCTGATGACTCAGCCACGCCTCATGCCTTCACATCAATGCCCAGGAATATCGCCTTGCTCCCCAGGCCATTGCAGTAGAAACCAGGTGTCTCCTTCTCACCACAGACACAAAAATCATTAGGAGTCATGGCTCCAAATAGAACACCTAATGGCATAATCAAATCACCCAGAGAGGCACAGGTCCAGCCTCCCGGCTCCACCCAGCCTGGGATTTACTCTGTATACATCTGGGTGTCCCGCAGCCCTTCCTGTAACTGTTCAGAAGGGTGTTGTACCTCACACCTCTAAAGCACTTATCAGAGCAGATTTCTATTTCCCAGGAGATCCTTATCAAGTAGGTGGGGTCATTGCCTCTGTTTTAACCAAGGAAGTAAAGGTAAGGTAATACTTAGACCAAGGTCATTCCAGCCTGACAGAGAACAGAGACAGATGCAATAAACTACTAGATCCCCTCAACCCCAATACAAGCCCCAGACAACATGCTCTCCAGACTTGCACAGAGTACACAGAGGAAGCACTCATGGGTGGTGCCCATGTGGTCTTTTAGGACCTTTTGTGCTGCAGCATTTTGACTTTTTGTGCAAGATCTTAGTATCCCATGATTTTTAAAAAAACTGGGATAGAATTCACATACCATAAAATTCACCCTTTCAAAGCATTTGATTCACTAAAGTTTGTGTGACCACCACCACTGCCTAATTCCAGAACATTTCATTGGTGTAAAAAGAAGCAACATATCCTTTAGCAGTCCAAGAATTTTTCCTGTTGTTGTTTGTTTTGTTTTGTTTGTTTTTTATGAAGGGGAAGGTGTTCTGCTTCAGGGTCCTAAGCATGGGGACACCAAGGAAGGAATAGGTACAGCAGGGGCTCGACAAGGCACTCCTGTGGGATGGGGGTTGAGAGCACAAAGTCTCTGGCCTTGACTTCCAGGCCGGCCCTCTGAACCTCCCTGTGGGCCACTCCTGCCCATCCCTGTAGATGGTGATGTCAGGATTCCACCCTGCCTAGACTCACCATGGATGGTAAGAGGTGAAGAAAAGGGGCACCATGCCTGCCAAGGGGCCATGCCATTTTTTAGTTTTGAGATAATTACCAACTGATAGCTCTTCCCTTGGCTCTTTTCCCCTCTTCTGGCAGCATCTGAAGTGCTAAAATGCTAAACCAGAAACTTATTTCCGTATGCTGTATCTGGCCAGGGTCAGGAATGAAAAAACCACACAGGGCACAGTTAATGTCTTGTGAATTTCTCCACCAACAGGACAGAGATCACAGCTTGGAACTCAATGTAATCATGTTGGCCTGGATGTCAGCTGAATAGCTCAAGATGAGGAAATGCACAGAAATTGCTTTACCAATGCAAGACTCCAAGAAGCCAATTTGGAAGGTGATGAAATAGTTACTCTAGCCCAAGGCCAGCTGTCAATGAGGCCAGAAGAACCTTTGCAACAATGTACTGAATAAAACAAATGTCCACAGGATACTATACAGTCATCTCAAGATACCACAGGAGGCAGGAGCACTAATGCCATCATCGTACCATGGGGCTGAGACATGGGAAGGGTAAGGCTGTCCTGACTTTTAGCACGTCCGTTCATCCCCTCCACGTACCTCATATCCCTTTGCACCTCCCCAAATCCTGGAACTGCCCAGAGTCCAAGGAAATCAGGGTATTATGTATTCTCACATACAACAGATATTTTCAGAGCACATTGTATTTGCCACATTCAGCAAATTGTGCTACCCAGTCCTTACTCTCATGGAGTTTTCAGTCTAATAGGAAACCTAAGACCTGGCCATGAACAAGTACTCCAAAGGAGTCTGATGGCCGTGCTGAGTGAGTGTGTGGAATTTGGCTGGGCATAAGCGGATGGGAAGGAATAAAATGGGGGAAAATGTTGGAGAGGCAATTCCAGATGAAGAGAACAGAAGGGTAATGCATGTTTGCAAAACTACAGGAGGTCTTGTTAAGCAGCAGGAGAGAGAATATGGAAAAAAATAGCTGAGGACAGGAGCTGATTGGTGTCAAATGAAGAATAGTTGTTAATACCAGTGTAAGGAGTGCAGAGCTAAAGGAAAGTCATCCCAGTTTTGTTAAGCATAGGAGTGAACTAAGCCACAACTTGGAATGGTCATGAAGACCCTGAAAGGGAATGGCAGGTAAACCAGATTCCGTCAGGATCTCACTCTGATCCTATATTCCACAGTGAGTAAGATAGAGAACTAGGGCTGGGGAGCCCTGGGCATGGTCTAAGAAACCATGAATGAGTTGCCTTGCTTTGAGTTTTCTCATTCTTTAGTAGGAGGATCTGTGTAAAAGAACTTCAAGACTCTGTTACAACTCTGACATTCTATGATTCTAAGTCCAAAAGGGTGTGCCTCACAAGACCACTTAGACAGGTAAGTTTAAGGTCTCAAATAATATCCAGCCTTCTCCCAAGTCTGACCTGTAATCTACCTTTCTCTCCCTTTGCACATAGGGTATATAGACTCAGGAGGATTGAACAGAGCTCTGGAAAGAACAAGGCCCATCTTCACTGCGAACTCCAGGGTGATACACATATGTGGCTTCTGAGAAAGAAGCCTTAGCGTCTCTGTATGCAATAGAGAACTGGAATGATGGAATCTTGGTCCAGGGAAAGTCACAGTAGAGAATAATCTGGAGTAAGGAAAGGCAGAGGGAAGGAGAATTGAGATAAAATCATTTTTAAATTAGCCTTAGTCATTGTTCTAATGTTAGCTTGTGGGCTGTGAGTTTTTAGCATGTTTCTTTGTGGGGTTAGCTTAGGACACCTGGAGCTCTGCTGCAAAAATTCCTTTTCCAGGCATTACAACTTCCCCATAACCATCCAAGTGCCCTATTCCTTCTCAGCCTATGCCCTTGTGCTGAGTCCCTGAACAAACTGATCTGATAATAAAACATACAATGAGGATCAGAATTTCACCAAAATACAACC